TGATGAATGCCCTTGTACTGTTCACCATGTAAGAATTATTCACTATGTAAGAATTCGTTCACCATGTAAGAACTTGTTCATTATGCTTCAGAAGATTGGAGACTGACGAGAATTAGGCTTGAGATGGATTAATGATTGTGCATTGAGCATTGACCCCCCTATACAGAATTTTATTGTTGTTAACAACCATTTGATCAATAAATATGAGAGAAACACAAGAAAACCTAAGACTGTATCCTCAAAACCCTCCTGTGGCTCCCTCCTGGCTCAGAGTAAAAGCTGAGAGCCCCACCCTGTTCTTCAAACACTCCTCAGGGCCTTGGCACTGGCTGTCCTCTGCCTTGACCACTCCTCCCCCACCACCTGATATTTCCTGACTCACTCCCTTACCTGCTTCAAGTCTGTCATTAAAAAGACCCTAAGTCAGTTGAGCTATGTCCTGGCCATCCCGCCGGAGACCTCCTCCAGGGGCTTGCCCCACACCCTCCCAGATGAATCCCTCTCTGGGCCACTTGTCCCCACAAGATGGACCACGTATTTATGCATTTCTTTATTATCTCCCTCTCTTCCAGAACATAAGCTCCTAAAGGGCAAGGAGCTTGTTCTGCTTTGTTCAATGTTGTGTCCCCTTAGAATAGCACTTTACAGAGTAGATGCTCAATAAATATTTGCTAAATGAATAGATAATTGACTGAATAAATGATATCCTTATCCATGCAGCCCCACCAGGCCCGAGCCATAGGTGCTTTCAACACCCAGGGCCCATCTCCTCCAAGACTACTGGGACTCCACTTTGCTTTCAAACTTCAGTGGTCACACATTGATTCACCCCTCCCCGAAGTCTTTTTCATGACCAGCATGTTCTGGGGTCAAAAGATAGAGCAAGTCCATTCAACTCAGCAGATATCAATTGCTCACTTTACTCTTTTATTGATTCATAGGCTTGTTCCACAAAGGATTTATGCAAGGTTTAAAGACTCCAGCAAATCAATAGACATTCAAAAGTAGGAAAGACAGAAATGAGTCAAAAACAGGGAGGATCTGGGGCTCTTAGGATGGGCCTGGTGTGCACTGGACCCTGCCAGAGACTTATTCAATGAGGGGCCTCCCCGGACCCAAGCTGGCTGGTAAGCACAAATGAGGGCTTCCCAGAGAAGGTGATGTTTGGACAACACCAGATGCAAAGGCCCAAATGGGGCACGGCATGGCCTGTTCATGGAATTTCCAGACACTTCTTCTGGTCTCCCCACCCTATTTAAGTTCTTTGTAAACAAAAGAAGTCACCTGAGACATATGCAAGGTCACATCTTGCTTACTCAAGATTGCAGCCAGCCCCGACTCAGCTGAGGTCAAGGCCCCTTCTGACCTCAGAATCCCTTTCTATCTCCTTGTATATGATGACTTACACCTCAGCTGTTTTGTTTTCAAACTCTATGATAAAAGACACTTGCTTAAAAAAAAATGCTAGGATATTCTCAGTAATATCTGACAAAGGACTCAAAACCAAACTACAACAACTCAAAAAGAAGAAAAATGAGTAGACAAAATATTTAAACAAGCTTTTCACAAAAGTGATACCCAAATGGCCAAGGAGCATATGGAAAAGGCTCAGGACCATCAGTCATCAGGCAAATACAAATGAAAGCTAGTGAAAGCCCATGTCACACTAATCATAATGGCTAAACTTAAAAGAGACTGGAAATACTGTGACACCAAGTGAAACTGTCAAAATTGTTGGTAGGAGTGTAAAATGGTACAGCCACTTCAGAAAAAGGTTTGCGATTTCTCCTAATAGTAAAAATACACCTTGTATGAGATCCACAGTGTATTCCTCGTGGCTCCCAAGAGGCATGCTACAATAAGGACACCAAAAGATGTGTTCAAGGATGTCCACAGCAGGTTGATTCAAAATAGTCAAAATAGTCAAGCAACCCAAATGCCCATCAACAGGTGTGTGGCTAGCACACAATGGGATACTATTCAGTGATGAGGAAGACACAAAAACACGGATGAATCTCACACATTAAATGCTGAACAAAAGAAAGCTGGACACTAAAATGTAGGTACTTGTGGATAAAATGAGAGTTCCTGTGGTTGACTAGCTCACTGCACACCTGTGGGCAATACATGGCTGTTGAGTGCTCTGGGCATGACACAGTGGCAGGGCTGCAAGGCTGCAGGAGAGCAGAGCAGAGGCTGGAGTGGTGGCAGTGCCGAGGACAGAGGCCCAGAGGACAGCTCTGCGGGATGGCTGTGCAGGCAGAGGAGCCCAGAGGACAGCTGTGCAGACAGAAGGGCCCAGAAGATGGCTGTGTGAGATGACTGTGCAGAGGGGCCCAGAGGACGGCTTGCGGGCAGAGGGGGCCAGAGGACGACTGTGCGGACAGAGGGGCCCAGAGGCAGAGACCGGCTTGCTGCATGCAGACTTGCTTTGACTGAATGGGACTCTAGTGACTGACCTGCCACTTGGAAATAAAGTTGGGTATAACCCTTTCATCCCAAGAACGTTTTGCTGTCAATTTCTTTGGTGACATTGAATCCATAGTGAACTTGCCTGGGGCTGAAACCCATTGGCAAGACAGTACTACATGATTTTGTTTTGATGATGTTCTAGGAAAAGCAAATGAGTCAATGATGCTAGAAGTCAAGGATAGGTTACCTCATGGGATGGGGCACCGGTTAGAAGGGCCCAGAGAACCACAAGTGTTCCCTATCTTGATTTGGGTGGTGGTCACATGGGAGTGAACGAGGAGCTTACACGTTAATTAACCAACTAGTAAACAGTGACCTAAAGTCACGGAGTTCAGCGCACAGCTGTGGGTGAGAGGGACTGTAGCTTCTGGTGCAAAAAAGATGGAACTGGACGTAGGCTGGTCCAGTCCCTTCTCAGAGAAGAAACCTCTCCTTCCCGCAGTCCTGTGACTTCTCAAGCAAGTCCCTGCTCCTCAGTTTCCCCACCTGCGGAGTGGGGCGCAGTCATCGCCGAAGCCTCCCCTGCGCTTCTGCCTTTGGGAGAAGGTGGCACTTCACCCCCCGTCCCCAACAGGGCTTGTCGGATCATCTCTCCGCAGCGCCGGCCCTCCCAGGGCCCAGCTGTGTGCGACTCACGAGGCGCTGGCACTGCTCTGGGCCTCTGCTTCCGCGTCTGTAAAATGGGGGTCAAGTGTGGCCGCCTTTCCGGGTGCTGGGCGCTCCCCGCAACCTCCCAGGGCACACCACGCGCTGGCCGCGCGCACAGCGGCGCCCGTCACCCTGCGGCCGCGAGGGGACGCCCGGACCGCCTGCGCTTCCCCACACCTTCCCGAGAGAGTCCCTGGGGCGCCCGATGAGCAAACGCCAGAGGGAACCCAGGCCCTGGCGCGCGGTGTTTTGTTCGCAGCTGCGAGGGGAACGCGGCTAGAGAGACGCGTAGCCCCTTTAAGAAGCGAAAGGAATGTATCAAAACAAAAAGTCCGCGCACCCACTGGCCGCGCGCCGCACGTGACCGCACAGCTGATCTCCCGGCCCCTCCTCCGGGCCACCGCCGCCGAGTGTCAGTTTCAGCGCCGCCGTCTGCCGTCGTCTCTCGCGTGCCGGCCCGCGACCGCCCGCGCCCCTCTCAGTCCCCGGCCTCGCTGAGCCGGCGCCCGCCGCGGGTCCGAGCGGCTGCCCGGTGCGCAGATGGCGCAGGCGGCGGCCGCCGGGCCGCCGGAGCAGGGCTGCCCCATCCGCGTGGAGCACGACCGCCGGCGCCGCCAGTTCACCGTCCGGCTCAACGGTAACGCGGCGCCCGGCGCAACCCCGCCTTTTGTCTGCGAGGGAGCGGGACCGGCCGAGGCCGCCCCCAGCTGGGACGCGCGCCCCCGGCCCGCAGTCGGGGGAGGGGCGCGAGTGCGCGCCGCGGGATGGCCTCGGCGGCCGCCGCTCCTGTGCAGCCCCGCCCCGCGCTCTGGGGGCGGGCCGGGGGCTTCCCTCGCAGGCGTGCGGGGCGGATTGCCCGGGAGGGGCGCGCCCCCGGCGGGTGGGGCCCTAGGGACGGCGGGGCGCGAGCGGTCGCCAGCCGCGCGTCAGCCTTGGGGACCCGCACCTGCTCCGCCGGCTATCCTCCGGGGCCGGACATCGCCGAGGGCTGCTGCCTGAAATCTCGCAGAGCGGGCCCGCCGTTACCTCTCCCGCTTCCCCGGGTGTTAAATGGCGCCTTGCTGCCCCGGGAAGCTTAGCTTTTCTGCCCTGAGGGCGTTGGAAAAATCTTCTCTGCAGACCTGGGGCTGAGGGAGAAAGTGGTGTCTGCCCTGTGGGGGTGTGGGGGGGTTGATGCCCCGAGCATACCCCGCTGGCTCCGGGACTTGGGCCCAGTCGCCTCTGCTCCCTCTCTACAGTGGGAGTAACAGCTGTGCATCGCTCTGGGCTGGTTAGGTGGATGAAATGCTGCCGTAAAAGTAAAGGCTTAGAACAGCACCTGCTACACATATTAAGTGCTCATAAACATGGACTGATCATTATTTTTAAAACCAGAAAGCCAAGTCTTAATTTCCTGTAAAGAAAGATTCTGCCAACTTACCGTCTTACACCCTTTCCCCTTAGAACACAGAATTATAAAATCCAGGAACATGAACTTCTGTCTCCCATGCTCTCCATATCAGTAACATTTTCTTCTCTCCCAGCTGGGCCCTCTGTGGCAGTAGAAACGCTGTGCCCATTTCTGAGAAGGGAAGGCAGAAGTCCAGAGAAGGGAGAGGCTTACCTGAGGTCGGGCAGTGAGTCGTGACAGGCTGGGATAGGATTGTGCCTGGCCTGGCTCCTCTTCCGACCTGCACTTGGAGGCCGTCAGGATGGGGCATGGCCTGGGCCTGTGGCATGGTTGTCTCCCCACCACTTCTCTGTCACAACACCCCTGTGATGTGGGTACCACCTACCTTATGGATGAGCAAACTGAGGCTGGGACCACAGGGAAGGAATGACTTGCCCAGCTTCACAAAGTGCCAGAGCCAGAACTCACACCAGGGCCCAGTGACCCTTTATCACAGAAGTGAGTCCTTCAGAGGCCTTGGTGCCTGCCTCGCCCAGCTGGCCAACACTGAGGGCTGGCCACTCTCATAGGGAAGGGCCTTGTGGCTTTTCACGTCCTCTTTTCAGAGGTTCCAGAGAGGCTTCTGTTTCTCTTGGGGGCTCAGGAGGCCCTAAGCACTCAAGGAGACAGGAGGTAAAGGGACGTTTGGGGTTTTCCTTTCTCTTCCAAGTTAGCAGGGCCAAAGGATGCCCCTCTGGAGTCAGCCATGGTCAGGGCTGGATGTGCCCAGCCGTATTTCTAAACTTGCCCCTTCTAGAACCTACTGCCCAAATAGGGATCCCCCAGCCAAGCCAGAGAGGAGTGGGGAGCCACTGGCTTCTCTCCAGCCTGTAAGGCAGGGGCTGGGTAGCCCTGGTCCAGCAGGTCTGGCATGTATACAAGCTAAGAGAGGGCTGACTCTCTGTGTCTTGGCCCAGCCCTGCCTCAACTGGGGAGAAGAGCAGCCTGTCATAGTGTGTGCTGACCTGCAAGGCAAGCCCCAGAGCCTGGCTTGTTGTGCCCATTGAAAGATGGAACGCAGGCTGAGAGGGGAGGCAGCCCCAGGGCTCTTGGGGCAGGCCTGGGCCTGGGCCTTCCACATGGCAGAGCTCTGCTGCTGAGCTTCCAGCTGGCTCTGGCTCTGGGTGAGGGGTGAGCTTTAGCTGCTGCATGTAAGTCCTTGTGCTCCAGGCAGGAGCTGGACTCCGGCTCATGGACCACTTACTTAATCTTCAGAACATCACTGGGTGGGGTGAGGAGACACTGCTTCTACTCTACAGACGAGACTGCGGCATGTAGAAATGACTGACTCACCCAGGGTCTTGCAACTCAGAGTTGGAAGAACTGGGATTCATTCCACCAGGTCCTTAGTGAGCATCTACTGTGTGCAAAACTCTGTTCTAGGTGCTAGAGACTCATGGGACTAGAAGAACACTGAGGAATAAACTGTAGAGCATTCTAGAAACAAGAGCCTGGTGAGGAAGAAAGCAGGGCAGAGGAAAGGCATGTCAGGAAGGGGCTGCTGTGTAGAACTGGGTGTCCAGAAGGGCTATCCTGGGAAGGTGGCATTTGAGTACAGACCAGGAGGCAAGCAGGAAGCTGTTGAAGTGGAAGAGGCAGTAAGAGCAAAGGCCCAGCAGTCCCTGGGGTGCCTACAGAGTGGCAGGGGGCACAGACTGGAGAGGAGGACCCCAGCAGACCAGGCCAGGAATTGGGGGTACACACGGTGCAGGGGTGGAAGCCAGCATGAGGACTTGGCTTCCCCTGAGTGAGACGGGGGCCCTGGAGGGTTCTGAGCAGAGGTATGAAAGGCTTCTCTGGCGAGACAGAAGCAGGGAGGTGGCTCTGCACTCATCCAGATCGGGGAGTGGGAGCAACGGTCCTGGGCAGATGTTGCGGGAGGCACAGATGGGCTGCTGACATGAGTGCTGGGGGACGTGGGAGATCCGGATTCTTAATTGCTAGCTCCTATGTCACTGTACGCTAGGTGGGGAGACCAGGGCACACAGCCAGTAGGTTGCAGAGCCAGAGTTGAGCCCCAGCCCGGGCGGTCCCCTCCCTGCCCTCCCCTCCCACCTCAGCCACACTGAGTGCCTGCTTGCCGCAAGAAGGGTCACTTGGGGGCCATGGAATCCCAGTGCTTTCCGCACCCACCTAGACCCCCATTCCCAGTTAGGAAGGTGGAGGCCCCCGGCGTCAGTGGCTGCTCTGGCCTGCAGCACCTGTGGAGGCAGCCGGGCTAAAAGTGCACTGGCAGGTCTTGTGGCACTCAGATCCCAGGCCTAGGTACCCCATGGGGACCACCCTGCCCCATAGCGTCCCATGATGCCACCTAAAGGGATGCTGAGCAGAGGTACTGGGAGGCTGACCGGTGCAGCAAGGGGACTGGCTGGGCCTGGGGATGGACTTCCCTGGGAAACCCTGGGGCCTGCCCACCCCTGGCTCCTCCAGGCCGAGTCCACTGCCTAACCCACCTCTGAGCCACCAGCATGTGATGCCTCCCCAAACCAGGCTGTGCACGTGCAGGCACCCAGAAAAGCCAGCTGGGTACTTCTGGGGCCTGTCCCCTGCACTGCTTGTCCTTGCTCACTAACTCAGCTCCCAGATAGAGCAGAAGGCTTGGGCTCTGGTTTGCTTCCGCCTCAGTCTCTTCATTGGTACAACAGGAGTTTTGACCTACTGGCCCTCTCATCAGATTGGTTAGGGCAGAGCAGAGATGGTGGCCATCAATGCCCTCCACAAAGACCCGAAATCTCCCACCTAGAACCCCTGCTCTTCTTCCCCACCTGTAGGGTAGACAATTTCTTGTTGACACTCACCCCAATAACTTCCTAGGGTTTCAGCCCTGAGAGTGGGGTGAGGTGGAGGGTACTGGGGTGGAGAGATCCAGGGAAGAGTCCTCTGCTAGTGGAGCAGTTTTAACATTTCTCAAGCCTAGTTACAATCTGTGATCTTGATATGATTCCAAGGCCCAGGAGGATGATACCAACTGTCCCAGGACAGGTGAGGTCTTGGACACAGGTGTCTGACTGGCCCCATTTGGCAGAACTGGGACTGGAACCCTGGGCCTGCCCTGCCCTGGCTTGTTCCTGAGACCCCAGGTGGTAAATAGTGACCTACTTGCTGTTCTGAGGCCTGGGAGTCTTGGCAGCTCATGCAACCCAGCCTGGATAAGGTCTGGGGCCAGAGCAGGCTGTGCCCGGGGGCTCTGCCCACGATGCTGTGAGTTATCAAACAGATAAGTGTTATCAAAGGGTCTGTGGCCCAGACATTAGTGATGGGGTGGCCCTGGTGCCCAGGCTGGGAGGGTGGCTTATGGTACTGCCCTCGCCTTTGGCTGATGGGCGGGGAGGCCTCAGGAAGTGACATTGAATGATAAGGATGGGGGAGGGGTGTTCCAGGCAGAGGGGGCAGCCCACAAGGCTAGGTGGAGAGCTGGGTGTGCATGCAGGACAGCCAGGAGGCCAGTGAGGCTGGACCAGACCCCTGACAGCTGGGACAGGATGCCGGGCCACAGGCCAAGCCCTCCGAGACGGTGCGCTGGGGGCCTGGCCCCTCCCCAGCCAGGCTCGGTGTCGTCCTGTGTAGCCATGACCCCCTGGGGGCACCGGACACCCTTCTGTTCCTCTTTCAGCCAGAAGGCCCTCCTAACGGAGCTCACCTCCATGCACTGCCAAGCTGTGTGACTACATTTTATGGCCTCAGTTTCCCCACCTGTAAGTGGGGCTGTAAGAACCTGCCCATTTCCTAAGATTGTGTGAGGATTCAGCTGTGGAGAGAGCTGAGCACAGGTCTGTACCATGGCAGCCCCACCTCAAGTGGGAGCTACAGCCGCTCCCTCCTGCCCTCTCCCGGAAGGTGCAGGCAGGCCCCCACCCTTCCCCAGACAGCCTCCTCAGGATCTTCCTAGTGGTCCTCCCACTGGACTGCCCACCCCCCACATCTCCTTGTGGATCCTGGCCTTTGTTGAAGAGAGGCCTGTGTCCTCAATACAACGGCAGCCCCTGCTTCTCTCCTGTGTTGTATCTGACTCGTCATCTTTGAATCCTGTATTGTGATGATGATGTTGTCTGTCTCCCTCTGTGAGGATGCTGCATCCCCTGCACCTGAACCCCTACCTGACACATAGTAGGCCCTCAGTGAGTTAAGGTTTTGGGATAGTTAAGTAGCCAGAGTAGGCAGGCAGCTCCTAATTTGACTGGTGAACCTGCTCAGGCCCAAAGTAGCCTCCTGATCTCTGCTCTGCTGTCCTGGGTGAGCTGAATTAACCCCAGATGCAGAGCCAAAGACCAGGTTCCATTCCACATGGCCAGGGGAAGGGGCAGCGGAGGCCACAGCAGGGCCCAGGCCGGGGCAGGGGCAGTGGAGGCCACAGGGGGGCCAGGGCAGGGGGCAGAGTCACAGTCAGGCCATGAGGAAGAGGTGCTGGTGGCCTGCAGGTTGGGCTGGGGGTCACTTCCAGCTGGACCTGAAGAGGGAAAGGACATTCCAGGTACAGGGAGCTGCCTAGGCAAAAGCCTGGAGGCAGGAGGGGGAAGGCACATGGAGGTGGGGCAGGAGAGGACTGGGTTGAGGGTCTGGAGGCCTGGAGCTTCACCTTGGATTCACTGTGGAACTCGGGTCTCTGGATCCCTATCTTCCCATCTGGAAATGGGGAGGTGAATTGTAGAGAACTAGAAGCCTCCTAAGTGGGTTTGGACCCTGTCCCAGTGTCCAATTTGCTGGAGATCCTGGACTGGTCACTTATATCTCTTAGCCTGTCAGTTTTCCCCATTCCCACAGGCCAAGTGCCCAGCATTTAGGATTGAATTCTCTATGGTGCTTTGAAGCTAAGATGCATGAAATAACAGTCCCCTTTTAAAAACTAGAGAAAGACCCTTTGCTTTAACACAACTTCTTTTAGGGTCAGTGCATTGTGTATACTAACCTCAGGGCCTTTGTACTAGCTGTACCCACTAACTCTCCTGCTCTGAGCCCAGAGGTTTCTTGGAAGGATATTCCCTGACTACCCCTGGCTAAATGGCCCTTCTCTGCCAAAACCCGGTTTATTTCCTTCACACACTTAAAACTCTGAAATGATAAACCCTGTAGGTGTCCTTAGCTCATCAACTGTTTCTCTCACTTACCACACCCAAGCCGTCTCAGCGAATCTGCTGGCTACACCTTCAGAACAGTCTGTCTGACTGCTCCTCACACCCCACTGCCTGTCCTGGGTCCTCACTGCCATTCACCCGGACTAGTGCAGCAACCGCCTCACTGGTCTCCCTGCTTCTGCCCCCACTCTGTTCTCTGGCAGCCAGAGGGATCCTGTGAAACCCCACGTCACATCCTGTCCTTCCTCTGCCAAGGACCCTTATGTGGCCCCCAGCTCACGATGGCTTAAGGGGCTCTGCAGGACCTGCCCATCACTTCCCTCATCTCCACCCTCTCCCAGCCCTTGAAGCCACCCCCTCTGCCTGGAACACTGCCCCCTAAGCGTCACACAGCCTGGCTGGCTCCCTCTCCTTCCTGTCCCTACCCAGCACCCCCTCTACCCTTGCTCCGACCCCTGCCATGCCACACATTGACTTGCTTCCTTGTTCTGTCTCTGTCTCCCCTTCTAGTTCCATGAGGGCAGGACTCTTTGTCCAGCTTGTTTATGGCTGTGTCCCCAGTGCCTGAAGTAGTGCCTGGGGCTCCATAAACACTTGTTGAATGGAACGGATGGCTGGACAGCTGGGTGGGCAGATGGCTGAGTAGGTGTGTGACGGGGTAGATGGATGGATGTGTGTAGTTGAATGGATGTTCAGATGGATGGGGAACTAAAGACTGGTTGGTTTGAACTTCAGTTAAATGTTTTGCCAGCGGGATTTTGGGTGGACTGGTGCGCTCCAGTCCTGGCAGGCCTGTTCCTGCGTCCTGTGCCACATCACTTTTTCACAGATGCCAGTGCTGCTTCTGATCTTCCGCAGGGTCAGCAGGTGGTCCCGATGCATCTTGTGGCCTCTTGTCCATTCAGGCTGGGGTTTAGCTGGAACTTGCTGAGCCTTGCTGTGCTTCCAGCACTGGGCCAGGGACTCCCAGAGCTCAGAGTGCACTCAGGTGGGGACACAGGAGCTGGGTGGTGGAGGGGTGCTGGGGGCCTTGGGGTGCCATGACAGACCTCAACAGTGGAGACTTTCGTGGGACTTGGGGTGTTCTAGGGCCTGCTCTGAGCACATTCAGAGACTACCTCACTTAACCCTCCAGACTCCAGGAGGAGCGTTTCATTATATCCCGACTTATGGGTGAGGAAACTAAGGGACACATAGGTTATTCAGGACCCAGCTCCAGTGCCTGCCTCCAAGGGCCTGAGCCAAGCCCCTGACTGCAGTGCCTCACTCTGCTGCCACCTGCCCCACAGGATGTCATGATCGGGCCGTCCTGCTCTATGAGTATGTGGGCAAACGCACTGTGGACCTGCAGCACACCGAGGTCCCTGACGCCTACCGTGGACGTGGCATCGCCAAGCACCTCGCCAAGGTAGGCGGTGGGGTCACCACCCCACCCCAAGCAGAGCCACATCCTAGGGCTGACCCCGGCCTGTTTCTTGGCAGTGTGCAGCGGGTGCCCACCCTGCCAGCAGGCTGCAGCGAGGACGAGCTATTGTCAGAGCCATGTGCCTCCCGCCACTTCTCTCCGGCCGGTGGTGGGGGTTCTGGGCCCAGGCCCAGGGTTCTGTGGAGTGAGCCTCCAGGGCCACAGTCACCTCCTGTGGGCCAGGAGCTCACTGGCCAGGTCCCAGCACAGATGACAGGTGCTTAGGACACCCTTGTTGAAAGAATGGTTAAGCAAATGTTCAAGTGGTTCTTGTCCCGCAACCTACCCTTCATCGCTCTGCTGCAGGTTTGGGCTGTGAGGGAGCTGCTGCCTGCAGTGGCCTGGGTTCCTCCCCCTGCCTGTCTTCCCACATCCATCCCCACCCGAGGCCCCCACTCATCCTCCACCCTTCACCTGGTGCTGCCCAGGCCCAGCACGGAGGCGGGGAGGGAGTACGTCTTTCAGCAGCAGCTTTCCCATGTTACAGAGGAGGAAACAGAGCCCCTGCCTTGGGTGAGGGTGTGGGCCAGGAGGGGCGTGCCCTCCCTCACTCAGGAGCCAGGGGATCCACTTGGGGCCCTGCCTGCTGAGGCACAGGCATTCACCCTGTGGCCTCCCATGACACTTTCTGGGCCTTCAGTTTCTTTTCTGTAGACTGGGAGAATAGATGGAAGTCCTGTCACTAGAGAGGGTCTCAGGTCATAGGCCCCGGGACAGGGTGTGGCTGTCGAGACACCCAAAGGCCAGCTCGGCACGTGGGGCCGGAGACTCAGACAAGCCGGCCCCTTGCTAGGTGCTCAGTGAAAGGTGCCTCGTCAGATCAGCCAACCCTCATCTCCCACTTTGTACCAGCAAGCATTAGACACCACCTGTGTGCATGGCATCCTGAGAAGGCCCTGGCAGGGGCAACGAGTACACCGGACAGGCCCTTGCTCTCCCCCTCCTAGCTCGTTGGCGATGACTGGAGCCGCAAAGGCCACACACTGGTACCCCCATTGCTTCCCCCACAATTGGCTTTGGGGCCCTTCTAGTAACTAAGTGTGATCTCCACTGGGTGCAGGAAGCCCTGAGGGGCTACAGGAGCCCTGGGACACCCCTGACCAAGAAAGGAGAAGAAGGTCCCAGGAGGAGGCATTAAATGAGCTGCCACATGAAGGGTGGGAGGAAAGGGAGCTGTAGGAGCGCTCTGTGAACAAAAGCACCAAGCCTGGGGAGGGTGAGGCACTGTAGAGACAGGCCTCATGGGTGGGGTGTGGGGCAGAGATGCGGTGGGGCAGAGGGTGACTGGTTCAGTCCCTGCCTGATGCTGTACAAGACACTCCGAGCTGCGGCCACATTGCTGCTGGGTTCTCTCAGCTGCCCGTATGGAGTCTGCCCAGGCCTTGCCTGTTTTGTGCCAGGACCCCAATCCTGGGTCCAGTCCTCATTCACTTCCATGCCACGTGGCCTCAGGCACTGTAGCAAAGCTTCCTGCCTCTGTTTCCCCAACTGAAGTACAGGGGTGAGGACAGCACCTCCCTGCCTCTTGCAGAACAGAGAACAGGTGGCTCAGAGGGGGCAGTTGGGGAGGCGGCCGCTGGGCCACGCGGAGCCCAGGCTGCAGGTCCCACACTGGGTGCTCTTCTCTCTGCCCTGCTGCCAGGCCGCCCTGGACTTCGTGGTGGAGGAGGACCTGAAGGCGCATCTCACGTGCTGGTACATCCAGAAGTACATCAAGGAGAACCCCCTGCCTCAGTACCTGGAGCACCTGCAGCCATGACCCCGGCCCTGCGGGGTGGGGGTACTCCATGCAGACCTCTCCTCGTCACCTTCGCCTGGCCTTCTGTGGGCTCTCAGGAAACCTGGTCCCCACAGGGGGCAGAGTCAGAGTTATTTTTGTAAGGACATTCATCTGTGACTTCTGGAGGCAGCTGGCCAAGGATGGGCAGTGGTCCAGCTGCTGAAGCAAGGGGAGGCTGGGTGGCCAAGGTCCCAGCAGCTCCCGCTTTGCAGACACTGGCTTCTCAGGAGGCCTCTGCGGCCTTTTGTGGCCAGGACCAGAGGTGGACAGGGCAGCCCTTTGGCCCATCTGCCCCACCTGCTGTTCCCTGCTCTGTGATCACAGGAAGGCGATTTGGCACCCCTGCTGCCACCTCCTAGATCTGTGTCCATCCTGTAGATGAGGAGGGTGCTCCCCGAGCCAAGATGAGCAATAAGAAACCTTGTGTGCCAACCTCCAAGGGGCACAGCCCCCAGCCGTGCTGCCACGGGCTCTGCCCCTGCCCTGTGACTTGTGTGCCATGAGGGGGCTGGCCAAGGAAAGGGGCAGCCCCCCTGATGTGTGAGGCCTGTGACGGGCAGACCAGGCACCAGTCCAGGTCCAACTGTGCATATGCAAGTGCACACATACAAACCCGGACGCTGGGTTGGGTAACTGCTGGGTGTTCGCTCCTCGGTAGCCATTCCCTGAAGTCCCTGCCTCCTTGTCTGTCAGCTCTGCCAAAACCAAGGCCCCTGGACCCCGGAGCTGCCCTCCCTGTCCCCCCGACTGCCAGGAGCCAGCCCCAGGTGTGGCTCCAGCACCGGGGACCCCCACCCCGGTGGCCTCATGGCCACCCTGTCAGTGGGTTTTCTCAGAGAAGGCCCTTTAGGAGGCAAACTGTCCTCAGAAAATCCTCCTCACCACCCAGGAGGAAAAAGCATTTCTGCAGAGGGATTTCCTGCGCAGCTACCAGCCATCAGAGCGTCTTTCTCTCTGGTGGTGAACCAGTGGCCGGGCACTTTCTGTTGCCTATTTAGGGTCCCAGGGCTCCTCTAAGATCTGCCTTCTGGGTAATGGCCTGCGAGGTGCACTCCTGCAGCCTTTGTCCTGGGAGCTTCCTTTTGGAGGCTGCTTAGGGCCCAGTGTCCTGCCTCCCTGTGCCGCTGTCCACACGGTCCCATCCATGCCTGCTTCCCTGTGGAGCTGAGGCACCGATTGACAGCTTATCTCCAGGGATGACGTACTCCGCAGGCCTCCGGCTGGCATGGATTTGGGAGGTGTGGATGCTGGGGGCACCTTTGTCTGACTGGTGGTGGGAACTGGCCTGTGGTTGCCTGTTTCTCTCACCAACCAGTGTCAGCACTGAGCTCTCCCAGTCCCTGCCCCGCTACAGCAGGGCCCACCCCCAGGCATTTGCACAGACACCTCTGCACCCAGTGGCAGTAATATGTCATCTGCACGTGCATACAGGCCTGGTGGTCTGCCCACCAGGGGTCTTTGTGCCCCAGAGTCACCGTCCTTAGCAACCCACCCACTCTCGTGGCCCATGCCTAGCTCCTCTCTGGCCTCAGGAGCTTGCCCGGAGGCCGAGGGCACCCCTTGCCTTCCCACTGTACTCCTCAGCTCTATCTGCAAAGGCCTATTGTAGGGAGCCCAGAAAGCCCCTGGGCCTCCACTGTGCTGTGTGTCGTGGGCCTGGAAGTGACTGTCAGGAAGTGGGCTCAGCTGCTGGGCCGTCAGGCCTTGGGGCGTCCCACTGAAGCAGAGTGAGTTGTAGGCCCCAGTGGACAGATGGGCCTGGGCCTGCTCCATCCTCACCATCCTGGGACCCCCTTTCCCTCCCTCTCCAGGACCACCCCCATCCACACATGCCTCCCCAAGTTCAAGCACAGACTCTGTCATGAAAAGCTCCCCCACAGCGAGCTAGTGCTGTCCCTCCCACAGCCTACAGGGTGAGGTGAGCCAGCTGCAGGAGGGCACTTGGCCCTGGTGCCCTCCCAACCTGTCCATGGGAGGGTGCCCTGCAGGGGTGGCACACAGGACCCCAGGGGAGGCCCCTGTGTGAGCAGGCCAGAGGAGCAAAGAGCCAGGTGGCACCAGGACAGCAGCCCTGTCCCTATCCCCAGCCTGAACTCGTGTCCGAATAGCAGGTGACTACTGAGCCCAGCCAGCATGCACAACAGTACTTGAACCAGGAGAAGCACAGGATCTCAGAGGGACTCCTGTCCCCAGGTCCTGCAGGTGTGACCTGGGCTGCCTTAAACTGTTGCTGCCATCACTGCAGGGGTCTCTGCTGCTGTGGCCAGGCTGGCCCTCAGGCTCCGGCAGAGCCTCAGGGCAACAGCCATAGCCCTCTCTCCCAGGCAGGTGCCCTGGTCTGTTGCAGATGCCCCTGCAGGCCCCAGTTCACCTCAGCCTGTATACCTGACTCCATGGCCACTGGCCTGCCCTCAGTGCTACCCTGTCTGGGGCCCCAAGCCTCACCCCACCCACCCGGGGATGCTCCAGGAGCCCTTCCTCTGGAGGCAGGCCACAGGGACCAGTTCACACCGCCGGCAAGAGCAGAGGGACACTGCTAATCTGGGGCCCCCTCCCAGTAGCCAGTAGCCCCCAGGCTACGGGCTCTTCTGCCATGTCTCGCTTGTGTGTTTCTTTCCTGCCTGGTCAAAATAGATGGCAACTCATGTGCCTTTCCTACTCAGGACCTGTTCCAGGTGGTGTCTGGGCCAGGGTGTCTCCAGACCCACACCCTTTGTTATTTTTCAAAGTCCTAAACAGATTGCATGATGTACATTGCAATAAAAGATAATGGCCTAGCACACCGGCTCCAGGATTGCTGCTAGAAAAGGCACAGTGGGTACCTGCAAGCCAGGGGCTGCTGTCCCCAGGCTGGCTGGGCCCTACCCCACCGCAGTCTGATCATTGGCCCCTTTTAGCTTTTACTAATGTGGAGCCAGGCAGTGGAGGCTCAGGAGTCACAGGCTAGCGGACAGAGGAGACAGCAAGCCTGGCAGGTGCTCTCCTCCCATCTCTTGCCCTGGTGGTCAGCCTCTCATACTTAACTGGTGGCGCAGCCCCACTTTCAGGTAGGGAGTGCGAGGCTTCGAGAGGCACTGGGCTTGGCTGTGGGACAGCATGTGTTGGGCTCCGGGGCCCTGCTGTGCGTGCCCAGCTACATCCCTTCCCTGCACCACAGCTCCCACCTCCTCTGGAGGCCACGGCCACACTCTCAGCAGTGGGCCGCCCACTGCCTGGACGGGATTTACCAGGAAGAGCTGCACTATCACATGTCACATCCACCGCTGCTCTTGGACTTGTCCCTCTGCCCCTCAGCCTTCTCCAAGCCTTGTGGTCCAGCAGGAGGCGGCAGAGCACCCATGCAGTCCCCGGGGCTAAGCCCCCGCAAACGTTCCCAAACAGGAGTGTGAGAGCATTCTGGTCCAGCCTGAGGGCTGCGTCTTGGCTGCCTGGGACAGGAGGGACCCCGAGCAGGATTGCTTCCTCCTGGCTCCCACCCTGGAGGTCACAATGCCACCCCAAACAAAAGAGGGCATAGCAGTCGCCAGGCCCCTAGAGCACAGGCTTGTCCAGCTGATTGGTGCAGCAGTTCATGGGATCCTGGGCCCTAGACCTGTTTTACAGACAAGGAAACAGGCTTGGCGGGGAGGCCCTAGGCTGCAGTCCACAGGGCCAGAAGGCGAGGGTACCAGGATCCACACTCAGTTCCTGCCCTCTCTGAGATGAACTACACCTGAGTGTAGGGAGGTTTCATGTCCACTTCGGCAACAGATGGCACTTTGGCAACCTTCCAGTTTGTTTGGAAGGCTGAGGTGGGTTCCGTCCTGAGCTACAAGGTACATGGCCCATCAGAGATCCGGGTGGATGTGGAGATAACATCTCCTCCGGCCTGCACTGCCAGTGGAGCCAGGGTGGTGACGGCAACACAGATGGGCCATCCAATCGCTCACATTGTTTCTTCCCTAGTTGAGGATTCTCAGATTTGCCCAAGTCCACCCAGATGTCTCTGTACTATTCTCAAGGTCCCATTCCTCCCAAATCAACAAACACCCTAAATTGCACATCAGAGGTCAGCTGAGGCTGTGGAGTCATGTGACTTTGCCACTTGCAGGATCAAGTTCAAGGTCACATTTGCAGTTGAATCAGTCTCACAGCTGCAGATATTAGAGAGATTCATTTCTGGCTATCAAGAGATGCACTCCAGTTCTCTACCTGTGTCTTGAGCCAGGTGTAGGTCTCTTCCTGCCGATTCCAGGCCCCGGCAGCCTGCCCACACCAGAGCCTTTGTGGCATGGCTCCCATCAGTGATGGGGTGACAGCCCATCAAATCCCCAAGCTTTGCTTTCAAGAGGCCTCACCCCAGCTCTTGAAGCAGTGATTTTGGCTCTGAGAGCTGTAAACATCAGGGTACCATTTGCCCCAAGCAATGAGGTCGTTTCTGTGCTCGTCAGGCCAGATAAGTGACCCTAGGTTTCCACACCAGAGGGACTGTTCATCAGAGGCCATTCCTTCGCCAAGAACAATACCTGCTCATGTGCAGTCAGGGAAGCAGAAACTGCGCCAGGTTTCTTGCCCCTGCTTCAAACGGGGTTGAGTGCAGAGGGCTGGTCATGAAAACTGGTGTAAGGGCTGGAGGGTCAAAAGCAAGAGGGTGAGATGCCCCAGGTGTTAGGAGGAGCCAGAGCTGCAGGAGCACAAGGGGCCCCAAGGCCATAGCTGCATGGCTGCTTTTCGCTGCCTCAATGAAGCCCAGGAGCACCTGCCCTCTGCTCACTGCTGCCACTGCCACTGCAAACACCCAAAATCCAGGAACTTGCTGCTCTGGCCTCCTGCCTGTGCCTCCCATCCACAGAAATGAATGGCCACCTGCTGGTAAGGGCTCTGGGGAATGCGCCTACAGGTGCCCAGTCCCTCTCTGATCAGGGTGCAGAAGGGATCTGAGTGCCAGCAGACAAAGAGTGGGGACAAAATAACAGGATGTTCTTGTCTCCAGGGATGGGGCATCTGCCATAATGCGAACCCATCTATCCCAAATGCTAAGACCAGCATGACAGAGAATGACAGAGCCCAACACCAGCCCGCTCAGAATGCCTGCTGTGGCAGCAGCTCATGTTTGGAGGTACTGGGCCATCACCAACGCTGATGTGAGCTCACAGCTCAAGTGGGATGCTTGCAGGTGGTGAATCAGGAACTTGGGTGGGAGACTGGGCTTGATAAGATTCAGCGATCTTCTGAATTAGTGAGACTGGCTGGTGAAGGTACCTGTCAGATGTGGGGAGAAACTGACACGGGACAGTAGCAAGCCTCTCCAGTCACTCTGGGATCTAGAGAAAGGAGTCTCGGGGAGTAAGAACCTACTGGTGTTTCACTTGCCATCTAAGACAAAAAGGCCAACTAAGTACGTGGACAGATCAGAAAACCAGGCCATCTCATTCCAATCTGCCAGCAGGCCTATGATGGGGCAGCTCTCCTCCTTATGCAGGCAGATACCACTCTCCAGAAAGCCAACTGCTTCCTATGATGAACACCCATGGTGTGTCCAGCGAAGGCACAAGGGTGAGCAGGGCCAATGGGGCTCCACCTCCAGGGGCCCGCAGTGCAGGTGGGGGTGGGAAAGCACACACCCGGTAAGAAGGCTGTGTTGGCGTGCACAGGCGAGGCGCCCACCCAGCATGAGGGGCCCTGGAAGGCCCCCCTGAAGAGGTAGCTGAGCTGGAAGGTGGGCTTTGTGAAGGGACCAGCCCAGAGGCCCATGGGCTCTGACCTCACTGCCCACCACTCTCAGCCACACAGGCCTCCCAGCAACATCTCATACCTGCAGAGCCATGCCCATCTCAGGGCCTCTGCATGTGCTCCTCCTCTTCCCAAAGGCATCTCAGGTCTCCCTCCCTCACCTCCTTCAGAGCTGTGCCCAACTCTCCCCTTCCCAGTAGGCTGCCTTTCCCAGATCCCAGCTCCTTTACATTGCCACCTCCAACTCCTGATTCCCTTATCTTGCTGGATTCTTTCCAATCATTGCTTTCTTCTTACACTACACATGGCTGTTTTATTTTACCTTATCTGTTGTCTGTAATAAATACAAGCCCCACATCATTTCAATATTCACAGATCAGATCAGTGCCTGGCACATATTTAATGCTCTACAATATTTGTTGGATGGGTGGGTAGACGGATGAATGGATGGAACAGCAAGCGGAACGGGGCTCTGGGAGACTAAACATGAGCAAAGGCCTCATGGTGAGATAGCTTCTCACACCTTGTGAGGTTGTGTGTGGCTGGAAGTGGGAGTCAGGAAGTGATCCCAGAGAGGTAGGCAGGCAAGTGATGAGGGCCAGGAGGGACGGTCAAGGCTGTTACCAACCCACCTGTTTCCATGGGTGGACACACAGCTGCACCTACCAGCCTCCCTTGACACAGGCATGACCTGGGTCAGAGTTCAGCCAATGGAATGTGCCTGAAAATGAGACAGGCTCCCCCCAGGCCCTGTCTTTCTCAGACCATGCCAGATGGAACCAGTGCCAAGGCTCTGGGGTTGGTGAACCTGCTGGCTGAATGGCTGCATATAGAAGCCCCCTGCCAAAACCAAACTCTCATTTGGGCTTATTCGGCGAGCAAGGAATAAACACATTTCCACAGTGTGTTAAGCATGCTGCACCTTGGGGTCTGTTATGCCCAGATGGTAGTAATGCCTTGACGTAAGGTGCTTAAACTTGAAATACATAGTTTTGGCTACTGGTCAGGCAGCAGGGAACATGGACATAGGTACTGCAACATGGCAAGTTGGGGAGACTGGAGTGCAGGGGAAAATGTTTGTTAAAGCCAAACCTGCAATGCCTTGGGGACAGACCAGAGACCTACCCAGTTGTGGCTCCAGGGAGAAGTGGTTGGAACAAGCTGAACACTAATGTGTGTTGCTGTTCCTTCACTTTATAGTGAGGTAAAAGAAAGAGGGAAGCAGCAGACAGTTTGCAAACAGAAGAAAGGGGCAAGAAAGGGTTTTAGGCCTCGGTGTTGGAAAAGGCATCTGTGACTGGGCCCCACCCAAAGTGCAGGAACTCAGACTGGAAAAGGTTTTAGGCAACAAAGGCCCATTAAAGCTTACTTAGCTCTACAGACAAAGGCCTCAGCCCTGTGGCAATGTGGACATGACCCTTATGGCCCTCCAACTGTCTGAGATGCTCTGACATGAGTGTCAGTAAACTACGACAGAAACAGACCAGGGGAGGAGGAAGCAAAGAAATAAAGCTGCTCAAAAGCCATATTAGAAAAGAACCTCAGTGCAGTACACAGAACTTACTGGAAGGGAAACTCCCTAAATTTTGGAGGGAATCACACTGCTGCAGAGGCCACGAGCCTGTGGCTTGGCCCCTGAAGCCACACATTGGTGAGCAGGCAAGGAGTTGCAGAAAGTGTGCAGCCCCTTCCTCAGATGTGGCCGCAGGGAAAACTGGATGAGGGGGGCCACCCCAGAGAGCAGAGTCAGGGCCACTGCCCCTGGCCCTGTTGCCACAGACCCGGCCCTGCTGCGGGCTGTGCCCTGCTCTCCCTTTTCCTAGTGGGAGCCTCCCCTGAGTTCAATCTGTCTCTCCAGGTTCAGAGCAGGCAGTAACTTGGATTTTACTTCTAGATCTCAGGCTGCTGCTGCTGTAGAACATGGTGCATCTGGAAGAGACAGGGGCCCTGGAGCAGAAAGGGGGAGATGTGAGTGGAGGAAGGGGCACAGACTGTTTCAGACTCAGTAACTCACCAAAACTCAATTTCCTGTCCTGGACAAGGGCCACATTTCCCAGCACTGCCAGCTTCCCCTTACGCTGGCCAGTAGGGAAGGGGTGTGGTGGGGCACCAGACTAATGACCCAGGTCTCTGAGTCCCTGGTGGGAGACCGCTGTCCCAGCTGCTGTGGGGGGGGAGCCCACCTCGCACTGTAGCCAACTCAGCAGCATTGTTCAGACTCTGAGTCCCTGGTGGGAGACCGCTGTCCCAGCTGCTGTGGGGGGGAGCCCACCTCGCACTGTAGCCAACTCAGCAGCATTGTTCAGGCTATTTGTTAAACTACCGGGCATTTAACTTATTGCTGAGGGCTGTGGGGAGCCATAAAAGGCCTCAACCAGGGAAGTTCTGTGGCCACATTTGTTTTAAAAGTATTATTGTGCGGGGCTCTCTTGTCCCGTCCTGGCGTGAGCCAGGAGCTGTCCTCTTGCTTTATCTCTAAATAAAAGCCTCCGCCTTGCTCTCCTACCTTGAGTGTTTGCAAAGTTCATTCTTTGACTCCAAGAAAGCATAAAAGCCTATTATAAAAGTAATAAAAGTTCTTCTTGACACACTGAAAAAAAAAAAAAACTATTGTGGCTGGAGTGCGGAGAAAGGACTGGAGGGTGAAGCCTGGGGGCAGGAAGGCAGGTTAGAAGGTCATGGCAGATCTGAGGTGAGAGAGAACAGTGTCCTGGACCACAATGGGGGCAGTAAGACAGAGAAATGGGTAGGTCTGAGGCACTGAAGCAACCTGGCTGAGCCCCACAGCTGAAGTGGCAGGGCCAGCATTTGAACTGGGGGGCTGTCTGGGTGGAAGAGGGTCCTGTATGTCCAGGTATGTGTGTACACACATGGCCCCAGACTCTGGCTACGCTGACCAGGCCAGGGCCCACCATCCTTTGGTCCCCTGACTGCTCTTTTACTCCCTGTGGGCTGCTCTCCACACAGTAGCCAGAAAGATTTTCCTAAAACCTCAATCAGACCATGTCTCTCCCTCGCTCCAAACTCCCCAGTGCCCTCCTATTGCACTGAGGGTAAAACCTGGGGACCTGATGCAGCCCCTGCTCACCTGTGTCCTTCCAGCTCATCACATTTCAGCTGCCCAGGCTTTGCTTTTGTTCATTAAATCCTTTGAGCTTGTTCTGCCTCAGGGTCTTTGCACTTGTTCTACCTCCAGATATTACCATAATTTAATCTTCCTTGTCACTTAAGTCTCTTTAGTTAGATGTGTTCAGTTGCTAGAAAAACCCAGTCCATAGTGGCATTTCACTTACCTTACATATCATGAGGTCTGGAGAGTGAAGGTCCAGGGCTCGTGTGGTGGCACAGTGATTTTACTGAAGACCCAGCCGCTTTTCATCTTCTTTCTGCACCACCCTCAGTATGTTGGCTTTTGCCTTCATGCTTGTTGTTTAAAGGTCACAAAATGGGTGCTTTCCCTCCAGGTATCACAACCATATTCCAAGCAGAAGGAAAGGCACATGTTTCCTTCCCTGACCTTCCTATCTAAGTTGCCTCCCTGGGCACTCTCTATTCCATTACCACATCCTATTCTGATCCTTAACCACTACTTAGAATTTTCTTGTTTCCTTGCTTGTTAGACCAACTCCTGCCACTACAAGTAGAGTTCCACTAAGGCAGGACCATACACATCTTCTTTATGGCAAAAACTGTGTCTGGCAACATAGGAAATGCTCAATAAATATTTGTTGAATAAATGAATAACAAAGTTCCCTAGGTGGCTTGGTGCCAAACACCTCCCTCCTGCTGTGGGCCTGGAAGTTTCCTAGTGTACCCCCAGGCCTCCCTGGACCCTCTTTGGGAGGCATCCAGGCAGTCATGGGCAGCAGCCAAATCCATTTTCAGGTTCCAGGCACACGAAGAAGGAGCCCATGTTTTTGAAGCCTGGATGGAAAGAGAAAAAAATTGGTGCAGTGGCCAAGATGATCCGGGGCGGTGCAAAGCCCAGAGCTAAACAGCAGCCCTCACATAGCATGGAAGTGCCTCCCTTTTTGAGGGAGGTTTAGGGAAATGGTGAGATATCTAACTAAAACTTAATAACCTTTGTTTCCATATATTTATTTTTGCAGCTATGTGTACATGATACAGACATTCCACTTAGTCATATAGAGTCTCTCTTTTAAATAAATACATTTCAGTGTTCAAAGAGTGGACCCATTTAAAGACAAATATTAAACATGGGCTAAGGGTCTGGCACAAATAGCAACTTCTACTTAGTTCCAAAGCATTTTCTTTACCCAAAAAGAAACCTGGTCCCCAGGAGTCTACTCCCCATCCCCTGCCCAGCCCTAAGCAACCACTAGTCTACCTCTGCCTCTATGGATGTGTCTAGTATGGGCATTCCACACACATGGACTCATAGTTTTTCCTTTTGTAACCAGCTTATTTTCACTTAGCATATTTTCCAGGTTCATCCACATCATAGCATATGTCAGAATTTCGTTCCTGTTCCTGGGTAATAGCCCACTGTGTGGGTGGACCCCATTTTATCTGTTCCTCTCTGGGTGGACATCTGGGTGGTTCAGCCTTTCTGTGCCTGTGAAGAGCGCTGCGCTGAGTACAGGTGCACAAGCACCTGCCTGGGTGTGACGTCTGCCGGTCCCGCTCTGCAGCACCTGCGCTGTGGCCCTTCTGGGTCTGCTTCCTGTGACAGCGGCCTTCCATTCCTTTTCTCAAACCCTAGTTATCTGGTGGCCCATCCTTGCCCCTCTAAGTGTCCCCTAGGGCAGGACAGGATTTAAAATAGTGTCAGCCCCTCACTCCAATCTCCTTCCACCCGGGTGGGGAGTGGAGCTGGCCCCAGCACAGGTATGCCTCTCTGTGTCCACCACCTTGGGCACCAGTGTAGCCTCTCTTTAGAATCCTCCACGTGTAGCCATGCTTCAGTCCCTGCACCTAGCCCAGGGCACCCAGAGCAACTGTTCTTGTCCCAGATCAACTTCCTCTGATCCTCCACCTCCTGTTAGGCTGAGGTGGCAAAGGCACTGCAGGGGAAGCGTGTGGAGCCTCACCTCATTCTGTGGTCGCAGTGCAAATTGGGGAGAGTGTTCAGACAGCTGTATCCCCTGAGATCTGTATGTTGAAGCCCTAACCCTTAGTACCTCAGAATGTGACTCTGCTGGAGACAAGTCCTTTAGAGAGGTGAGAAGGTAAGTGAGGCTACAGGGTGGGCCCTAGTCCACCCCGCTGCGGTCCTCCTGAGATGAGGGGATCTGAACACACAAGCAGACACCAGGATGCACACTCAGGGGATGACACACAGAGAAGGTGGCCATCTGTGAACCTCGCAGCCTTGGGAGAAACCCACCCTGATGGCACCTTCCTATTGGACTTCCAGCCTCCAGGATCATGAGAAAATTAATTTATTATTTAAGCCCTCTAGCCTGTGGTACTTTGTTATGCAGCCCTGGCAAATGAAGAGTATATTTTAATGTCCTGGGAATATCCTGAATTTCTCCATTTCTCTAGCCAGCCCCCAGCCCCAGCCCAAGTCTGTGAAATCAAAATTCTAACAGTCTCATCTACCTCTCCAGCTTGTGACAGGAGCATGTGCGGCAGGTGGGCTATCGAGACATCAGTATTATCAAGCCATCTTCGCCTTGCTCATCGCCCTGGTGTGACCACCTTGGCCCATTTTGCCCAGGACCCTCCCGATACCGAAACTGAAACCCCCATGTTACCCTTCTGCACCCCTGCTGTGTTCTTCCCCCAACCCTGAATTAGGGGCTGGCCACATGGGCTGATGGAAGGCAGGGGCCTCATCTGTTTATTACTCTATCACCGGAGCTCTTCCAGGACCTGGCACAAACCAGGTGTTCAGCAAAGGTTTGGTGACAAATGAGCAAGTGACACATCTCCCACAAATCTCTGTGACTGCCAGCTCTTGCTGACTGCTACTGGTCTCCTCCAGGAGGGCACTAAGTTTGGGGCCATCTGTGCCTTCCCCTGATGCATGCAATACAACCATGCCAACTGTTTCATCTTTTGGCAGCAGGTGTGCATCAGAGCACTGTCTGTGCACACACCCAGGGCCTTCGTGTGTGCGAGGTGGGGTGCTGACATGGCTCCCGAGACAGCACGGAGGACACTGGATGGTTGCGGTTGGGAGCGAGTGGGCTTTTGCTCAGCACTTTAGGCCAGCTTTTGTCTCACCAAGCGGAGAATGTCTGGCTTTGGGTTTCAGGAAGGGGCTGCTTGAGCTTCCTATTGCTGTGTACCAAGCCACCTTGAAACACACTGGCATGAAATAGCCATTTTACTCTGCTCATGGTGTCTGTGGGCCAGGCCTTCAGACAGGGTTCTGAGGGAGGATTGTCCCTGCCTGTCAGTGGCACTGTGAATATGGCAGGAAGCTGGAGGAGACAAGCGGAATGGGGGGCAGTTCAGCAATCTTCATCAAAATACACTTTGACTCAGCAAGCTCTCTTCAGGAAATTATCTCCCATGAATACATGCACACGGGAAACCAGGAAGTTGTATAAGCATGTTGACTGCAACACTTTGAAATGGCAGAGCACTGGGGAACTGGCTAATAGCATCTTGACCTGGCCATGGAATGCCATGCACTGTTCAAACCACTCAGGTGTGTGCTGGCGGTGACCTGCATGACAGTGCAGTGCAGGGATGCCCCAGATGGGCAAAGGAGAACTGTCATTTCTAACATATGTGCACACTTGCCTGTGTCTGGCTTGCACATGGCAGGTATGCAGGAGAGGCGCCATGCTGGCTCTGGAAGGCACTGTGGACTGGGTAGCAGGAGTTAGGGTGAGAGAAGCTGACTTGAGTTTTACACCATGTGAATGCATTACCCATTCAGAACTAAAATTCCATCCTCAAAATGCTCAGTTTTGATGCTTTAATCATTAAGTTCAAACCTTTGTGTAGAAATAGTATACCAGAGATATATTTCTGGTAGGTTTTTCCCTTCCTGAATGCCTGCTATGTGCTATGAAGCATGAGAACACGCAGAACTTGTTGAGTATATATGCACTTCTACTCAAAAAAGCCCTGCAAAGTAGCTGGTGGGCAAATGATGTGGCTGCCTTCTTCCCACACTTACCTTTCTAGACCCTTCTTTGTGGCCAGGAATGGAAGCCTACAAGTGAGATTTCCCAGACCCCCTTTGCCAACTGACTCGGCCAATGGGAGGCAGTGGTAGAGTTCAGAAGATGGAAGGGAGGAAGAGCCATCCCAGATGGGTTCTGGTGGCACCCCAGGCCACAGTGTGGTGTCAGCACAGCCCCAGGGGCTGCAGCTCCCCACTCCTGCCCAGGCTGCAGCACGAACCTCAGTTTCTGGGAAACACTCATTTTCCTTCTGCTCCTTCAGGCTTAGGGGCCCAAGCTGCTCCCTCCATGTACTGGTCCGTGGGTGTCCTCATCACCCCCTGCTCCTCCTGCCCTCCCAGCACCTCTGTAAACACTGCCCTGTATTTAAGTCCTTCTGTTTGAAATACCTAGGGTGTTTTATTCAATTAGAAACTAACAAAGTAAAATTACCCCCATTTTACAGGTGATAAAATTGAAATTCAGAAAGAGGAAGTGACTCAACCAAAGGCAAACCTGGTACCTCTCCCCCTACCATGTCTCAGCCACCCTGGCCCCATTTCTGGAACACACCAAACCCGCTTGCACTCCAGATCCCTCACACCCATTCTCTCTGTGCAGAACATTCTGTCCCTGGCTCTTCACATGCATACTTTCTCTTCATTTGGGCCCCATGCAAACATTACCTCTTGGGAGACCTCGAGACATCAGTAATTTCCAAGTCACTCTATTACATCATCCTGCTTTATTTCCTCACCATTCTCTGAATGTTTATTTATTTACTTGTTTACCCCACTGGACTGGAAAGCCCATGAGACCAGGAAGAGTGTCTGACCAAATGCTGTGTCTCAGGTGCCTCAGGGTACTGGCACCAGTATGCACACAATACTACCTGCTGTGAGCTTGACGGATGACAAGGCTCATGAAAAGCAGCCGATTATTTTGGAGCACCAGCTAGGACCTGCCTCTCCCTCTGCTGCCTCTCTGCCAGCAGTTCAGGGGGCTCATCGGGGGGCTCCACAGCATGGAAGCCCACAGGAACTCCACTGTCCAGCATTCAGGCCTCAGGGGAGCTCAGTTACTCCATGCTGAGTGAGTCAGCCTGCCCGTCAAGCCCCCTGAAGATGGCAGTGTGCTAACACTGACCTGGACGTCAGCTCATTAGCAGACTGGAAGCAGATGGCCTGTTAAAAGTTAAGTGCAAAAGCCAGAGGGGTGGAAAGATCATCCGAGGTCTACAATTGTTTGAGCACTTACCTTTCCTCCAGCACTAGTCACTGGGCTGGGACCTGTCCTCATCAAAGATGACAGGCATTTCCCGAGGTCCTCCTGAGAGGCACGCTGCATGGTGTGATCTCTGCAACCAGACAGCTTGGGTTCAAATTCTGATACCATTCCTGACGGGCAGCATGGCCCTGGTGAATCACTAGGGTCCTCTGCAGTCTGGTTTCCTTATTTGCAAAATAATAATGTTGATAGTAACAGTATCACTTCCATAGGGCTGTTTTGAAGATCAAGAGTTAAATCACTTCAAATATTTAGAACAGGGCTTGGCATGCCATAGCCGTCCATTGTTATCGTCACCTTGTGCACTGCTCTAAGTTCCATACACGTGTCCTCTTACGCAATACTCAGAGAAGTCCTCTGAGGAGAGTGTCTAATATCACCCCCACCTTATAAACAAGAAAACTGAGAAACAGAGGTTATACAAGATCCAGATCCAGAGTGCGGAGCCATGCTTCAAGCCCAGCTGTTCTAGAATCCCTAGAAAGCCTGATCACCACACGGGGCCAGAGAAAGCAGACTTAGCCATAGGCAGGGCCAAGCCAATATGGTAGTTGTTCAGAGGTCTCTAGCACATACCACGTGTTGGTACCTGCAGGCAGGGTTGACCCAACAGATACTTCTGAGGGATCACACAGGCCCAAGGTCTAGAAGCAAAGCTGCAGGGAGAGAAAGGTATTTTAGGCAAAGCATGGAACATCTGGGGACCTTCAAACCCTCTGAATTTGCGAGCCCGGCAAGTCCCAGGTCTGAGAAGTAGGCAGTTGAACCTGGGGAGGCAGGCACCCTCCAAAATGCAGAGGAGCGTCTAGACTGTGCTAAAGAGCTCGACTTTTACATGGCAGGCAACGAGGGAGGAGACTTCATGCACTTACACCTACTGTAGAACGTTAGCTGCAAAGAAATCCTTTAGAATCCTCTGTGATAAAGAGTCAAATCTACACCCGCCAGTCCTCCAGCCCTGCTCCCGAGTCCCACCAGACTCGGCGCTCAGAGCGGGTGCTGCGCTTCTTCCCGCCTCTGATCTGGGCAGATTTTGGCATAGAAGAGTTGCTCAAATATTTATGGGACTAACTATGCGACCCACGAATGTTCAGCCATGTTGTGGGAAAAGAGGGACTAGCAGTTCAAAAACTGCCAAAGATCCGCCGAATAGCTCCCACGTCTGAGGGAGCATCTAGGAATAGCTGGGCTCCCTTTAGTCCATCTTGGCTGTGCCTCTTTACTGCAGCGTCCAGGCAGGGCTGCTGTGAGGTGGGTGACTTGCCCTGCAAATGCCATCAAAGACACCAAAATACAAGATCACGTTCCTGTCACCGCAGCCGGGACAGAGCGGCGTGTGGGGCAGGGCCGAAGGGGCCGGGGCCCTTATGTCTAAAACGGGCTTTTCTCCGTCGCAGATCCCGTTTCTCGCATAGCAACTACCACATGCTGTGACCACTTTTTCCTCTTTGCCCTCGGTCTTCCAGAAGCTCGCACGCAGAGGCCTCCGCGGCAGAGACCGCGTCCGTCGAGTTCGCGGCGCAGCACCGCAGTCCAGAGAGCTGGAGGTGCCTCCCGCCCCAGTGGCCTTCGGGGGGAAAGGCGGCGGCGGGGGCGCGGGAAGGGCCGCGAGCGGCGCGGAGTTGCAGGCACCGTCCTTCCAGCTCTCCTTCAGCTCTTCGCCCCCGAAGCTCAAGGCCGCGCCCACGGTGGGCGCTGGTGTTGCCCCGGCTGCACACCCGGCGTACCGACTCGCGGGGAACGGCGGGACACGCCCGCTGCCGGACCGCGGTTCCCAGGGCCCGGGGCGGGGCTTCAGGCGCGCGAGGCATTGTGGTCCTGGCAGTCCACTGGAGCCCGGCCTCCGACTCACGCCCTGTCCCGGGCTGCGGCCCGGACTACATTTCCCTTCCGCTCACCCACCATCCCCAGGCCGCCTCGGCGCGAGTCGCTTGCAAGCAGAGAGTCTCCAAGATGGCCGCTTGGGGAAGGAGGCGTCTCGGCCCGGGCAGCAGCGGTGGCGGCCCCCGAGAGAGGTGAGGCCCGAGGCTGGCGCCCTCCCCGGGCGGGCGGCGCAGGAGCGCGGCGTCCCATGAGGCATCCTGAGCCGCAGCACCCTGGCTGCCTTCGCGCGCCCGCCCGTCCCCACGCCGGGCACGCGGGGCCCAGTCGGCCGACCCAAGACCCGGAGAGCCGGGCCCGAGCGGCCTCCGCAGAGGGCTCAGGGTCCGGGGCGGGGTGGGGGCGGGGCGGGGCGGCGACGTGGGCCGCGGCCGCGCCGCGCGAGAAGACCCGGCGTCCCTCGCGGGCTCAGGGGACCCGCCTGGCAGCCGGCGGGCCGAGCGGCGTTCGGAGCTCCCGCCCCGCCAGCACACGCGTGGCCCTCTCGTCCGCGGCCCCTGACGTGGCGAGGGAGGGAGGAGGAAGGGCCGCTTCCCGGAGTGGGCCGGCGGCATCTGCCGGGGTGCCGCAGCCTTCCCCGGTGTGATCTCGGCGGAGAGCCAGCCACTTCCTCGAGGGGCGATTCCAGCGTTCTTGTGTTGTGGGAGTCCTTTAAAGTGACCTTTCCTGATGAATGGGGTGTGGGTAGGCAACTAGGAGTTTTGTTTCTTCCAAGGAGGATCTCGATTTGGAGAGCTGATTTTCTGGAAGATGAGATTGGAGTCGTTTCGTGTGTTTCGTTGAATTTACAGGTTTTTTTTTTTTGAAAGCAGTTGCAGCTAGCAGAAGCCACTGGAAGCTGTACAGCCACTAGAAATTTGGGAAAGGATGTGTATTGGTGGGGTCACCTGGATTAAACCGTCCTGTCCATTCTGTTAAGCCATGGTTGGTCTAGCAGAGGTCAGCAAGAAAGGGAAGTTTGCGTTTGCCTTTTCCTCTTGGTGATAAACCTGAGAAAATTCTGAGATAAACAGAAAGTTCTCTTTCCCCCCTCCTCTCTTTCTCTCACTTATTCTACATTATTCCTTTTCTTTGACTGAGTGCATCTAATCATGGCTGTTGCCTGCAGATGGTTTTTCCATCCCAGAAGATTTTTCTTGTTTGGTAGTTGGGACAGATGCCTTATATCACATTTTATTTTGAGCTCAGTTAACCAACATTGTGTGCATTTTCTTTTCCTTGGAAAAGCAATGAATGGCAAGCAGGTAGCTGTTATTCCAGACTCCCACTGGTATTTCTTAGAAGTTAAAAAAGTGACCTCAGTGGTTTCCAAATGGTCTTAAAAACTAGCAAACGTTTTCAAGCTCTTTAATGCACATATTAATTATTTAGTACTAGGAAATAACCTGTTTAGAAAATTAAGAGTATCTGAGAGAAAGGCATTTTTCCTTACTGGATACAAACAACTGAAAGGTCCTAATGGAGATGCCCCAGACACCATACAGGGAACGTGCTAGTTAAGCATTTACTGATCAAACTGGGGATTTTTTTCTTGGTTGGAGACAAGTGGTAATTCAAAACTGAGTTTGCAAACCAGCCATCCATAGGCTGAATCCAGCCCCTTGACTGGTGAGCCTCGGTTTTTACAGTAATTAGTTGCCAACAGTTATAAATGGAAAAATTTGACGTAAAACGCTCCTTGAAAATCTGAGTAGTGGCCGCCTTTTTTTTTTTTGGTCAGGACAAGTACTCTTCAGTTCATCTCTCACCTTCTGGCTTTACCTGCCTGGTCTCCTGGGGTGTTGAGGTTGCAACCTTTGGTCTGAAACTGACATCTCTGCTCACACATGCAGATGTCTTCTTTCAGCCAGGAAAGGGCATCTGGTTTTGTGGTTTGGATGATGCCATGTCTCCTCCTTCCATATAATGTGCTGTGGCTGGGGGTACCTCTCTGTTTGCCTTGGCTGTTGAGGCCCCAGCCCGGCTCTGTTAGGAGGTGTCATTTGCCTGAGCCCAGTTTCCCTAAGAGCCTCCCATGCTGAGCAAGGGAGGGAAACATAACAGCCGCTGGGCCTCCAGCTAACTTCTGGGCACACCTCCACTGCTGCTCCATGTGTGGGAAGGCTGTTCGGGTGGGGCAGGCTGGATTAATTGATTGCCCAGCACTGGAGATTATGAGGCCCGAGTGCATTATGACTGAAGTAGGCTGTTTATGGCTCTCTCAAATGACTTTGTTCCATGTTACATTGTGCTGACTCAGATCTCAGCTCCACACTGTAAGACGACTTGTCTGACTTGTTGCACACACCTGGTTGGAGTCAGCTTTATTCTGAACCTGAAGGGAAACTGCCTGGTTTGGGTCAGGGGCTGGAGGAGAGCAGCATTTTGGGCAGACTTTCCAGATTTGCCAGTGGCTGCAAACTCCACAGCCTGCCTTGTATTTAAAGGCCCTACCTGTCCACAAGAATTACTGTCATCAGCTGTGTGTTAATGATAGTCTGATTTGGAATACACAGTGTGTGGATTTTTTACCTGGTTCTTGAGTCTAGAGCTGTAATAATTCAGTAGCTACTATCACTTGTGGCAATTAAATTTAAATTAACTAAAATTAAATAACTGCTCCTCCGTCACACTAGCCACATTTCAGGTGCTTAGCAGCCTCATGTGGCTTGTGGTGACCATATTGGATGGCACAGATACAGGAACGTGCCCATGATGCAGAAGGTTCTACTGACAGGATAGTGCTGGCCTAGACAAAGAGGAGAGGGGTATAAACAGCAAATTGGTAGCTGCCTGCTTGTTGATTTTTCTCTCCATGTCATTAAATCTAGGGAATCAACAGTATTGTAATGAAGAACATCAGACTCTGGGCTGTAACCTGAATTATTGTCCAAAATTCAGCACACTAGCAGCGAGCACATGAAACAGATTGCCACTTGTCCTGTTGGTGTCTTTGAGACACTCTTGCCCACCTAGGAAGGCACAGCACAGGTATCTGTGTGTCCTGCCACTCAAGTGCCATTTCTGATCAGCTCACAGACAGCGCGCCTATCCCTGGGGCCACTCATCTTCACCCTGTAGCCCCTGAGCACCCTGAGCCCTCCTGATTGTGGGAATATGAGCACCATGTGTGCTGCCAATTCCTGACTTTATCGCCATGTGAAGTTGTGCTTGATCTGATTCTGACACTGGTGGGAGACAGTAGCTCTGTCCAAGGGCCTCAGGTCTTCAGAGGACCAAGCACGGTGGACAAAACGTTTAGGTTTTAGGGTAAAGTCACTTTGTAACCTCCCACCCCCAGCTGTGCAGCCGTCTGCTCCAGTGTTTTTAGGCAGCCAGTTCTGTGGAATTATTTCCACAGCGTTCTGTACCACGTGGCATTCCCCTGCGCGTAGTCCTCCACTTTTACAGCTTTGCTTTAAATCTGAATGAGACGAACGTGGTCCTGGATGGCTGGGAGGGATTCGTTACCAATCCAGCTGACCGGATGGACCACCAGCCACACAAGCAGGTGGCTCACAGTCCTGGGGTACTGTTCACTCATTCTGATGCGATCCTTTCCTTTAGAGCTAAGACCTTTAGGGGCTTTGGGTATTTTGCTTCTCTTGAAAGACTCCCACTCTGGCTCCCGTGTGTGGTAAAGCGCTTCTTTCCTCCTGGTCTGGGTGAGCCACACAGCTGCAGCGTCTGCACCCGTCCACAGGTGTGCAGTCCTGAGGGTGTGGGTCTCCCCAACTGGCCATGCATGCTTGGGCCACACGTTCTGACCCTGAAAGTTGGGTGTTGGTTAAGGTCTGCTGGTGCACGTCTTCTGGGGCATGAATTTACATTTTCCTTGACTCAATCAGGCTGGATTACAGCTGCAGCAGCTTGGGCCTCAGGGGTTCCGTCCTTCAGCCACATTCCGATCCAGACCCAACGTCCAGAGAAGGGAGGGATGACCTCATGTCCAGGGAGGTGAGGAGGAGGCAGAGGCCAAGCCTGAGATGGCCTTCCCTGCCCTGGGCCTGCACGCCCATGAGCAAGGGCCACAGCAGGAGGTGGGAAGTGCTCTGTGGCCACCTCGCAGCCGCCACTGTGTTCTGCCCCTGGCACTGGCCGCAACTTTATGGGCCACAGAGTTCTTGGGAAAGCCACTGAAACTTAGTCGTAAGAGTCCTCAGCTCAGGCTCTCAGCAGGCCTTTCTGCTGTGACAGGACTGTGTGTCCGTGTGGTCTCTTAGGGCAGCCATTAGCCACATGTGTCTGTTGAGCATTTGAAATGAGGCTCATGTGTCTGGGGACTGGACTTTTTATTTTACTCAATTTTAATTAACTTAAACAGCTGCATGGGCCTAACACTGGGCTGGTCTTTGCAGTTCTCCCTTTGGTCCATCTGCCCTGCAACTGTCTGGGGGAGTGGGGGCCTCACCCCACCGGACCTAAGGCTGACTGGCCCAGCACAGTGGAGGCTCTGCTCGTGGACACAAAGCCAGTGCGTGACTGAGAGGGAACTTGAATCCTACACGTGATGCAAGCACCATGTTCTGTTCCCAGAGAGGTGCGTGGTTACTAGAGCAGAAGAGGAAAGTGTCTCTCACTATGCTCTCACAATGGGGCTTTCTCTGAAACAGATGAAAATGTCAAGTGCCCCGTGGACATTCCTTGGCCTCTGGACTGTCCTGGATATTTGGGGCCACATGTCTGGGCCTTCTGTCCTGACGCTTAAATCTACAGCAGTGAAGATGTTAGCTGCTTTCTTAGACTCCTGAGGAAGTACTTTTTTGTTAGCCAAAACTTGGTTTTCCTAGACCTGGGGGTAGCAGTGGAGTCCAGCACCCCACCTGTCAGAGGTACACGTTAAGGGGAAGGCATCCTGACCTATGGACCTAGTTTAGTTTTTCAGCCACAGGTTCTCTTAATTACTGTGATGGTTTTCCTTGCATCACTCACGTCAAACGCAGTTCCTCCAGCTGTCTGTTGGGAACCTGTTGCAGGCAGGCCCAGGGCTGGGGTTGCTATGGTGGAGTGCAGTCTCTGCCTTCGTGGAGCTTGGAATCATTTTCAGCAGGAGCTAAGGCTCCATCTGTCTGTGAGCCCGGGGCCTGCGTCAGGAAGAAGCCTACAGGAGGTGCTTCCACTGCGGTTTGACTTGGTTCTCTGGTTCTCACATGATCAAAAAG